CCGGGAAAAAAAAAAAAACAAAACAACTTCAAGTGAGTGGGTGGAGGAGGAGGAGCGTGGGCTGGGGCACGTGCTGGCTGGTTGGTTTATAAATGACACAGAAAAGGACGTTATGGAGAAGAGGTTTACGGATACCAAGTGGGTCGGAGCCTGCCGGGGAAGGGTTGGTCCCCACCACAGAGGGGCCTGGGACCTCGGGGACTCCCCCCTCTCCCACCCCGGCTCCGTCCCTGACAGCCTCCCCCCGTCCCGGCTGGACCACAGCCTCGCTCAGCAGGACAGAAAACTGGGGACGACATCTCTCCGCCCTGAGAAATTACCCAAACACAGAATAATTAAAACGCCGAGCCACAAACGGCCTCGCACAAAACCCATTGAAGCTAATGGGAATCTGTCCGCTGATTTTAATTGCTTCATTTTGGGTGCAAAAGGACTGAAAACATCCCCAGCAATTGGAAATCCCCGCCTGTGGCTCCAAATATATATTCAGTCGGGTGGTGTTACAGAGCAGAACGCTGCGGAACTGCCAGGAGCTGCGGCCTGTAGAGCACCATCCCCAGCTATTACACAGTTACACGACATGTTGTCACAGCGATAAAAGATCGAGTACACTTTTATCCAAAGAGAGTAATAAAAATTATCTTAGTTGCGTCTTCGAGCCAAAAGGCAACTTTGTGATCTAGCTGGTGGCAGTGTTCAAACGTATGAAGCTTGATCAGAATCTCACAAACGCCCTGAAGCATTTAAGAGAAATTCCAGAGAAAAAAACAGATTTTTCTATTTTTTGTTGCACAAGTAAAGCTTTAATAAAATACTAGAAATAATTTTCAATAACAGTCAGAGATTTCCAAATATTTCTAAATGCCCCAAAGATCCTGGAAACCAGTATCAATAAACATCTTTAACCAAACCACACAAGAGAGGAAGTAAATTACTGATTTTCTAAAACAGTATTGTGAAGATCTGCAGACTAAACATACAAATCCTTCCAGCATGTTTAGAAGATTTGTAAACCTAGTACTATTTTGTGAGGAGAAAGCGGTGCTGACAGAAAATAGGGACATCCTGCAGCATTTTCGCTTGCAGAGCCACGTATGTCTCCAGCCCAGTCTGATACAGCAGGACAGTGTTATTTAAAATGCTTGGTACGCTTGTCAGAAAAAATCAGAAAAACCTTCAAAGCATTTTATGAACGGCGCTTCGCTAATTTTCTATCAGGAAAATGTCTGGGAATACAGTGCTATGTTTGGACACGGCTTAGGTGCCATAAAACTATGGCGATAAATTCAAGAAAGGGAAGCTCTCATTCTTGAACGCGTTGAAGAGGGGCACTCTGGAGATCCAGGCTCTGGTTAGAGAGCTGCCTTTCAGCCAACTACAGTTACTATTTACTTAATCTGATTTTTTGGTAAATGATTTTAGAACATTTTCCATTCAGTTACTATGGATACATTTTACAACACTCTCGACTGGTTTAGCATGAAATATAGCAGAAATAGAGCTATGGTAAACACAAAGCACATTTAATTCCTGTTTATGCCAAAATGCTGAATGTTTCCTTTAAAAATTCTTCATACATATCTTTTACAGCACCGAACAGATGAAAGAAATCTGCTTTTTTAATAACATCTTTTAAGTTGCACTTAACATGGCAATAGTACTGAGCAGAAGGTACTTAAAACAGTCTTACAGTACATTTCACGTTATTAAAAAACTAATTACAACATTAAAATTATTTATTTGCCTTCCTTTCCTTGTCTTTTCTTACATTAGAACTACTGAACAAACTACCAACATCCTCAAGTTATCATTCCTGATACACCTAATAACTTGTAGCATGAGAAAGCAAGCCTTTAAGCAGGTATGTGAAAGACCTGCATCCCCTTTTTCGCAAGTAGATGGTAAAGCACATTCTGATTTATACGACAGCGTTTGTTTTCCTAACTGCAGGTGGTTCTCCCGGAGACACGGTTTGCTTGCCACGATCCCCCCTCCCCAGTCGGCAGAGAAAATCAAAGCGCTGGCTCTGCAGCGCGCGGCTGTTTCCCCGCACAGCCCAAAGGCCATCCCGGCTCTGCGGTGGCCCAGTCCCGCACCCCATAGATCCTGCCCCGCACCCCATGGATCCTGCCCCGCACCCCATGGATCCAGCCCCGCACCCCACGGGCCCTGCCCCGCACCCCATGGATCCTGCCCCGCACCCCACGGGCCCTGCCCCGCACCCCATGGATCCAGCCCCGCACCCCATGGCTCCTGCCCTGCACCCCATGGCTCCTGCCCTGCACCCCACGGGCCCTGCCCCGCACCCCATGGATCCAGCCCCGCACCCCATGGATCCTGCCCCGCACCCCACGGGCCCTGCCCCCCACCCCATAGATCCTGCCCCGCACCCCACGGGCCCTGTCCCCCACCCCACGGGCCCTGCCCCGCACCCCATGGATCCAGCCCGCACCCCATGGATCCTGCCCCGCACCCCACGGGCCCTGCCCCCCACCCCATAGATCCTGCCCCGCACCCCACGGACCCTGTCCCCCACCCCACGGGCCCTGCCCCGCACCCCATGGATCCTGCCCCGCACCCCACGGACCCTGTCCCCCACCCCACGGGCCCTGTCCCCCACCCCACGGGCCCTGCCCCGCACCCCACAGGCCCTGCCCCGCACCCCACGGACCCTGTCCCCCACCCCACGGGCCCTGTCCCCCACCCCACGGGCCCTGCCCCGCACCCCATGGATCCTGCCCCGCACCTCACGGGCCATGTCCCCCACCCCACGGGCCCTGCCCCGCACCCCACAGGCCCTGTCCCCCACCCCACGGGCCCTGTCCCGCACCCCACGGGCCCTGTCCCCCACCCCACGGGCCCTGTCCCCCACCCCACGGGCCCTGCCCCGCACCCCACGGGCCCTGTCCCCCACCCCACGGACCCTGCCCCGCACCCCATGGATCCTGCCCCCCACCCCACGGGCCTCACTGTGCCCATCCCCGCTGCTTCAGACTGGTCGTTCCCACCTGTTTATAAAGGAGGTCAAATCCACCCCAGGAAGCAGGGTGTATGCCCCCGCAGTTAACTCCCTGCCACACGGGTTAACTCCTTTCTTTCGTTACACTGCGCACCCCTTTTCGGCTGGCAGAAGACAGCAGAAGCCCAGAAATGCAGAGACCTCCCATTTTCATCCCAGTTGATGCAAAACGACCTCGTCAACTTTCTCCCTCTTTATTTCATAACACAGCTGTCCCTTCTATCTAGCAGTTTTAAGGTCAGCATTTGCATAAGCAAAACCTTTTCTTTCCAGTTTGTCTCCGCAGTCCATAGCAAAGCCCTCTGCCATAGCAAAGAGCAGAGAACAAGCACACCCACAAATAATGTTTCCCTTGGTTGCAGGCGGCCGAGAACCTCCTTATTTTCAGGCTCACACGGTGGGAAAAGTCACCCTCAGCCACCTTCACAAACCCACCGCTGCTGCAACCAGGGGCTACTTACGCTTAGGCGTGAATCTGCCAAACGCTTGCCCAACTTGACAAAATTTCCCCGGTAAACACCACGTATCGCAGAAAAAAAACACCCTATTTTTATTAGTAACAATGACCCACAATCCCAATCTTGCTCTCACTGAACTCAGTAACAAATCTGTTATCCTCTTTAGTGCGATCGGAATTGGACCAAAACCAGAAAGATACTCTGATCAAAATTACCGCGCTGCGGAATTCCGATTCTTCAGTTCTAGCACACACGCGCGTCCATTTATTCCAACAAGCAGCCTCTGCCTGCAGAGGCTCCGCAATTCCCCTCTAAAAGAGACCGATGTTGAAGACACCGTCTAGAGGGCACGTACGTACTACAGCCTCTCAGACGCTGAAGACCTCGAAGGCGGCAAATCTGCTGTCCTGAGCAGGTCCCGTTTTTAAATGCAGATAAATGCCTTGGTAGCAGACTGAAGCTTTTTGTTTGTTTGTTTTACAAAATAGTAAACGTGGCTGAGAGCAGAGGAAATAGAAAGTTTATACCGAAAAATGTTTTCAACTGATACAACGAATATTGCCCTTAACAGAAAAAATAGCTTTCCTTGAAAAAAGGCAAGTGCTGTGGATAAAAGCCCACGGGAAGCAGAGAAACTGTGACTCTATCCCATTATAGGCAAAACGCCTGCGTGGGAGATTCTGATAAATGCATGCTTGCTAAAAAGGGTGCCCTTTTAAAACGAGCTAAATAATATGCAGTTCGGTATTAGCAACACTTAATAAATACAGTCTCAGTTATAATGGGGACATACAACCCCCGTTTCTAACAATCCCCAAATCCATGGATATTTTTTCCCTGGTGAGGATCCCTGTTACAGGAAGCAATTAGGTAATGCTGCTCTCAATACAAAACCGTATTCCTTGCTTTATGCAGTGCAACTTCCTATCTTTAGCACGGGAAGCGCATAGATTTGTTTTTCATTTCTTTACTGTTTCCTGTTCAAAATACCATTTAAATGCTGGTCAAATTATAGCAACAAATCGTAGCAGATTACTTTTTTGGCATATAGTACCAAGAAACACTACCAAATTGACGTTTCTCCGATATTCCAATGATACAGGTTGCTAACTAGCATTGTAAGCCACCAAACGCATCTACCTTCTGTACAGACCAGATGGGGAGATTGCTCTAGTAAGGTTACACCGAGTATGCTTTCAATACATCAGATTACTTCTTGATGAGAAAAATACTGTCACATAATCACTGACCAGGGTATGTTGCTTTCCAATTTTGTTTACATCTCATATTTTAAAATGTCACATTATAGATTTTGGATATTGGGTTACAGTCAGCTAGTATACCAATCTCCATCTTCCATTATATGCTCACTTTTTTGATAAAACCTTCAGCAGAATTTCTTTAAACCATGGAAAAAATAACTCATAACAGAAATGACACCATTGTATTGCTAACAATAAAAATATTTTGCACTTTTGGAAATTTTAGGTGAAAGAAACTTATGTAAATATTCAATCACTTACTTTGGTAGAGTTTTCAAGTGATTTTCTCTTAACTCCAAAATTCGCAATTTGACAAGTCTAGAAATATGACAGAAAATAATCAGTTCATTCAATGAATTAGCTCAGGAATCCATAAGAGTGATTTGAAACAGCTTATTTCAACAAAAAGAGTCTGCCTAATGCACCACAGTAGGATGTCCAGTTCTCGTGGGGCTGAACACAGCACAAAATGTATTCAGAACCAAAGAGATTCATGTAAGGACAGATAGCTTCAGATATGGACGTACCTGTCCTTCTCTGAACAATTCTGATTAACTTTGACATGTATCAGGCTTTCGTAGTAATTCTAAACTATTTTTATTCATTATTCAAACAAGGCAAAAATAGTAAAAGTCAATTTATCTCAAACATTTCCATACCTCTTAAAGGATAAAAGCAACTGCTATTTAGTTCGCAACTTTCTTTTGCACTTTTTGAGCACTGAATTCTACAACTGCAACCAGGCAGACCAATACTGCAGAACAGATCTCCGTTTATTTTAAACAGAAATAGGACACGCGCTGAAGTGTTGGCATGAATTAGAGCCCATACACAACGGCACTTCACAATTCCATATCACTGCACCAACTCTAACTGGCAACATTATTTAAGCCACAGCAATAAATTTCCTGAAGTAGAATAATGGGAATGAAGGAGGACACATCAGAGGAGAGATGAAAAAACTCATGTATTAGGGTTCCAGGATCTGGGGCAGTGTTGTCTAATTACCCGTAGAGCCCAGGAAGATAATTTGATAAACATGAAAGGATTTTGATTCATGTCATCCCTTTGCCAGTTCTTTAATCTCAAATTATAATCAATGTGGGGAGGAAACGGAAGAGGATATAAAACGAGAATGATGGAGAAGGTCATTTCCTCTTCATCTCAAATTGTACAACTCCACTCACGGAAAATGTGGAGTATCAAATCAACTGGTTTTTTGAGGTACGTCCAATACGCCCAGGACTGCCCAAGGGTGTGCAGCCAAGCAGTTCTGCATAACTCAGTTGTAATTGTATCATTTCTAAGCAGAGATGTCATACTACTAAAGCTTTTAAGCTCATAACTTAGTTTCTAAATGTGAAGAAAGTTTATGGAGGAACTTTATGATGAATTTCCACGATTTTATTAATACTGCTTTTCATACTACTCTATCTCTCCCGTCCAGGTCCTTTAGTGCCACAAGTGTAAACGTGTGTCTCTGAGAAAAGTTTTTAAACAATACAACAAAGCTTTAAATAGTCCTCTGCCCAGCACAACACCAGTTTTGTTCCATGGAACCTCAGGCTTCCCAATATTATGCTCTTTTAGAAAACTATGGTGTTATCTTTTCCCTACCAAATAAAGCAGAAAACATTTCAAGTCCTACAGTTGTGCTTAACCAGGACAAAAAAGAACAATTTTAAATGAGAAACGTGGAGAGACGTTTACATGATGCTCATGTAGACTCCATTCCTGACTTTATTCACACGGCTAAATGAGCCTATAACAGACTAACTGAATATTACAGTAGCAGAATATAGAAAGAAAGCACCAAAATTTGGAGAAGAGCAGTAAGTGAGATATAGGTGAAGAGCTATGTGTGGCTAGTTAAAAAAAAAAAAAAAAAAAAAAAAAGAGTATGGTAACGTAGAAAGCTTTGGAACCATGACCAGAATTTGTAAATGCTGATACCAAATAGATAATATAGGGGGAAAACAATAACAAAGGGACTAGGATAATTTCATTTAGATATGTACTTGTAAAAGAAAAAAAAAGTTTGTGCTTTCTGCTAAAAGATTCAGAATACTAGACATGTCCTTAAGGAACAAAGAATATTAGACAGAAGTACCAGCAAGGCTTTAGAAGAGCACAGTGAATATGAGCACTACACATCTGATAAAGTGCAGGGTATTTCATACATTTATTTTTCCTTGACGTCTGAACATGACGTCTGGTTCCAAACTGCAGGGGCAGGCTGTCTCAGGCTTTACTCCGGCATTCCAAACGCTCATCAAATGCAAACAACGACAATTTTTGTCCCTCCTCCCTCCTTCAACCCGGATTTTCCAAGCGGCGCTCCGGCTCCTCCGGCTCGCTGCCAGGGCCCAGCAGGCAAACGCGGGTAAAGCGGCACCTTCCGTTTCCCGGTGCCCCAGCACGCCGAGGCGCCCTCCGACACACGTCACCTCAGCATCCACTCTGGAGTGCCGAGCTGGTGTCCCCAGCTGAACAACAAAACACACACAGGGGTCGCTGGCTGGACCAGGAGAAAAATAACGCCCGGTGAATTCTGCAGCGCTGCCAAATGTTTTCTCCGTGAAGCCTCTGCCTCCTGAGCCGGCTGCCCAGCGGCACCGCCCGGGGGGCAGAGGGGCTCACCGCTCCCTCACCACCCGCAACGCAGGTAGAACAAACCTGGCATTTCTGCCAGACCCGCGCAGCGTGAGGGTCCCCTGGCTTCTGCTGCCCTCCTCGGTGGCCGTGGAAATCGTGTTACCTTCCATTCCCCCTCTCTGCTTCGTCCTTATCTGACACCTGTTGGCTTGGTTTCTGCTGCATTTATTTTTACTCTCATTCCGCATCCTTTCTGCTCTGCCGTCTTTTGAACCTTCTCTCTTGTTCTAGCTTTCACACTTTTCCTTCGGTTACTCCACCACGCTCAGCCATTTCTTTTCTTCCCTTCTGACTCACACCACTTGTTCTTTCTGTTCATTTTTCAACAGGCACGGACCATCCTGTTATTTTCTGCCCTTGCCACAATTTAATAACACATTTGATTAAGGACAGGCCTCTTCTTCAATTTCTATTTCTTCTCACCTGTTCCCTAAATCACCAAAGTGCATCACTTCATCATAAAATTCCTGCTGACATAACGTTCTCTCTAACAACAACCATTCATCAAAATAGGGCTGAAAAGCCAAAACCTCCTTGGTTTTTTGTTTTGCTTTGTTTTGTTCTTAAAAAGAATGCAGCTTTAAAATGAACCCTTAAAAGCCTCAACTGCGTTCATATGAAAGAGCAATGTGCTTTGATGACTAATTCTTACCTTCCAAAGTTAGCTGGAAGAAACTCCAAAAAGGCATCATTTAGATAGAGCTGGGTCAAATTTAGAAGTTGTGTGAAGCCATCTGGCAGCCTAAAAAAACAGTTAAAAGCTTAATGCTCACACCAAAGTTGCTATGGAAATAATAACAATGTATATTTAGAAAGAGAAAGATGACTTTATCTCTCACCTTCTTTTTCTACCCAAATTCTCAAGAACTTAACTTGTTACAGACGTTTCTGCCCCTTCTCATCTCTTCCATGTTGCTATAAACCACATGAAATGCAAATGCCTGGCACATCCAAGTTACATCAGCCTTTTCTCCCTTCCTAGATGAGGGGTTTAAGCCAAAGGTGTTTTCTTTCTTTCTCTCTCTCTCTTTTTTTTTTTTTTTTTTTTTTTTTTTAAGAAATAGTAGAATTTCATCCTTTCCTCTCCTTCACTCCATTTCATAAATCACGGGATTAGAACACAGATTTTTTTTGATACTCTTATTGCAAGTTTTTGGAAAGAATAAGGGTGCCTAAATCCCAACCAAGAGATGACGGTATGTGAGGCTGCCGCATGGCTTACCTCCCAAAATACATAAAGCACCAGCCCCTGTGCTTAAAGGGCTGCCTCCCCTGGACTGCTTTGCCAACACTTTCTTTACTGTGTGGAAAGACACCACATTTGTTCCATAGTACACAAACCTTTTCCCATATACAGCAACACTGGATTTAAAACAATTAAAAAGAAACTTAGATTAATCCTGCAAACGAACTTGATACAATGCCTTTAAATTGTAGTGTAAATTTTCTGCACTTGCAGTATACAAATACAAGCTACTGATACTCACTTAGAGACTGGATTGACACTGGCTTCAATAATTGTTAAACACTTACAACATTTAATATTTTCTGGAAAATCTTGAATTCCTAAAAAAATATTGAAAGAATTATTATACACACATAAAAACTGTTTAACTTGTTTTGTTCATAAATGAGTTCATCTGGCATTTTCAGATCAGACTTAAGCTATAACAGGAAGAATACAGACACCTAGTACTCTGGTCTAAAAGGTGATACTGAAGCACTAAATAAATACACCAGAACAGATATTATGCCTTGTACGAAAACTATTATGCTAATGCTTGATTTATATAATCTTCTAGAGTTAAATAGTGACATCATTTACACTGATATTTGTGCCTTTTTTTTTCTTTCCAAACTGCTTATCTATCTCTTCTTTGCTTCCCTCTCTTCTCAGGAGAACACACGTATCATCCTGAGAGTCTATAGGCCCATACTGGGAAGAAATTTTTCAAAATTTTCGAGAGTGCTTAAGGCTTATTGTCAAAACAAAGACACTTAAGTTCAGACATGCAAAGGTTTTTAGGCACATAAATATGTAAATGTGTAATCTGGAAATGCACTTCAGCAAATTAGTCACTGCCTATATAAATCCTGGTGGTTGTTTACCTGCAGCCTCATATGCTTAAATATATTACACAAGAGCCCAATTAGTACTAAGCCACTTTGGAAAGTGGAATGGTGCGTAAGTGCACTGAGAAACGGTCTCCCACTCCTATTTCCAATGTTTATTGGTCACAAGTCATCATGGTATGCTATGCTAAAGCAAAGTCTATTAATTTTTCAGAGAAAAATAAATGAGGTAGGTATCTACTCAGACTTCTCAAAAGCGTCAGACAGAAAAATAACACATAATCTAGAAAAAGAGCAAGTTTTCCAGAACACGAGTTTGTTAATCATTAGGAATCAAAACTTCATCACTGTTCATATTCATTACAATTCTTTAAAATACTTATACTTTTGATCTCTTACCATTTTTACTGATATCAAGTTCTTTGAGATTAACTAAGCTAGCAATAGTGGTTGGCAGACTTGAAAGGTCATTGTCTGGTATACTCAGTTTGCGTAAAGCTTGACAGTTGAACAGTTGCTGTAACATAAAAAGATACTTTACAGCGTTTCAGGAAAAAGATCAGTTCGGGATCATTATTTATACACAGAAGCAACAAATACCACAAAACTACATTTGCTACACAAGAAGTCAATAATCAAAAAATATTTTGAAAAGCCGTTATTTAAGAAGACACTTTTACAGGCTGCTCAGTATCGTAAACACCGCTTATACACAGTTGACAAGAATAACCAAAACAGTTGATTGGTAGCAGGAATGATCAGAAAGAGCTTTCTGTCAAAAACCGCACACTCATTGCAAACAATGCTTTGTAGGTACGTGATATTTCATATGTGCCGTATAAATTGAAATTTTTTTGTGACCTGTGGTAAATTAAAATATTTTATAATTTAATTTTATGACAGATGTTAAAATATTTTCACTGCATGCAGAAGAAATTTGCTATCTTCAAGAAACAAAATGCTTTGACATCATCAAAATATTGTGTTCTTTAAATTCCCTTCAGAATTCAGGACTCAATTCTAATTTTTAATTCAAATGCAACTTCTATAAAATAGCAGAACTTCCACTGCAAAAACAAATCCTCCTTTCAGCCTGAAGTAATCAGCAAATCAATGTTGAGAGCACCTGTTTATCATGGCTGTTCTCCTCAGGAAGTATCACTCCCATACAACACCTTACATATGTAAAAATTAATGAAACAACCATGCTAAGAAAAAGCATTTCACATTTAGGTACCTTGCACTGCAAGGGTAGAGGCGCCGTAAACCAAAAGGTCTGATAGCTTCCCCAAGCCCCGCGTGCCAGCACGTTAAGGGGGGACCCCAATACAGTCGCTTGGTTTATTTATCGCTGTGCTCCACACTCACCAGTGGCAGCACTGCGGAAAATGGACGGGGAAGGGGAAGGGGAAGGGGAAGGGGAAGAGGAAGAGGAAGAAAGGAAGAGGAAGGGGAAGGGGAAGGGGAAAAAGAAGGGGAAGAGGAAGAGGAAGGGGAAGGGGAAGGGGAAGGGGAAGGGGAAGGGGAAGAAAGGAAGAGGAAGAGGAAGGGGAAGAGGAAGAGGAAGAAAGGAAGAGGAAGAGGAAGAGGAAGGGGAAGGGGAAGGGGAAGGGGAAGGGGAAGGGGAAGGGGAAGGGGAAGGGGAAGGGGAAGGGGAAGGGGAAGGAGAAGAGGAGGAAGGGGAAGGAGAAGAGGAGGAAGGGGAAGGAAAAGAGGAGGCAGGGGAAGGAGAAGAAGGGGAAGGAGAAGAGGAGGAAGGGAAAGGAGAAGGAGAAGGGGAAGGAGAAGAGAAAGGGGAAAGAGAATAGGAGGAAGGGGAAGGAGAAGAGGAGGAAGGGGAAGGGGAAGAGGAAGGGGAAGGAGAAGAAGAAGGAGAAGGGGAAGGGGGAGGAGTAGGAGAAGGGGGAGGAGAAGGAGAAGAGGAAGAGAGGAAGGGGAAGGAGAAGATGAAGGGGAATGAGAAGAGGAAGGGGAAGAGGAAGGAGAAGGGGAAGAAGGGAAAAAAGGGGAAGGAGGGGAAGGAGGGGAAGAGAAAGGGCCACGCGTGGCTGCCCGCCTTGGCGGTCCCAACCCTGGTTTGCACCCCCAGCACAGCGTCCCCCACCCCCGGCACCCGCCACTCCTGCGCTACCCTCCGCGCCGGGCTGCGGGGAGCACCTGCCTCACCTCACCCCCTCTGTGGCTCTAAAAACATCGCTCTTCCCACGAGTGAAAAGTCACCAAACCCTGTAGGACTGTTCTGCAAATATGAATCCAGCAAATGGCACCCGAAAATTCAGTGGCTTTCAAAGAGCGACTTCTCTTTGCAGGCATCTCACAAGGGTTCTTCAAATATCTGTTCGAGGTTTACACCAGATTTAGTCTTACTTTCAGACTTCTGTATCAGAATAAAGTCTATATACTCATCTAGGGGCTATTTGAGAATGCGTAATCGTTTGATTGCCTAGATGAAAAACTCAGCCAAGTATCTGGAGAGGAGAAAATTAACAGACAAATGGCGTGCAAATGCCAACCTAGTACTTCACATTAAGTGAAATTTAGATCATTTTGAAACTGCATTTTTCTGCCGTAAATTTCTGTCATAATCCTTTAGAAACATCCTGCTTTTCCTTCACATAATCTATTCTGAGAAAACTAAGAGGGAATCACACCAACAAAAGTTGCTGGGAACGAGAAGCACCACAGCACAGTCACCATCGATTGGCACCAACCACGCAGGGGCCTTTTTACTGAAAGACGCTTTTCGAAACGCCTCCGGACCGACAGTTTTTTTTCAGGCTCCCTCTCAAACGAAGGGTACGTGTTCGTTCCCGAGGGGGGGACACCAGCCCCTCCCCAGCTGACGGCAGGGCCCGGCAGCCCCGCGGGAGGAGGCCCAGGGAGAACCACGTCCCAGGCCCATTTCTAGAGCAATTACTGCACCCGCTGGCAGCCAAACGGGGTGACGCACCTCTGCTTGCAGACAGTGTTAATAAAGGGAGGAATCTCTCCAGAGACCGAGGAATTCCTTTGCAATGCACCCGAGAGCACCTGCTTTTTCTCTTTTTTTTTTTTTTTTTTTTTTTTTTTTTTTAAGGAAGCACACCATTTTGGACAAGACTGGAAAGTTTCATAATTCCCAAGCTCTGGGGTTTGCTCTTAAAAGCTGCAGCCCCGCTGCCGCGCGAGAACGGCTGTAGCCCACGGTCAGCAGAGGGAACCTGCAGAGTTTTGGCGCGTACACAAACGACACCATGCTATTGTACCTGGCAAATGAACTTCCCAGGGCAGGTAGCCAGCCATGCCCCTGGAGAATTCTTATTTTAAAAGCCGGGGAAGGCTTGGAACTTAAAGTTCTGACAATATCTGAAGAGATCGAAGGCTTCTGAGCTGGCGAATGAAAAAGCGTAATAAAAACTATTCCCTCCGGAGTAATTTTATGATGTACTCTAGTATCAGAAATAATATAAGAGTGTGAATACAGGTATGTAGGGCAAAAATTGCCCACTTTTTTTTAACCACTGGATTTTCCAAAGGTGTCTTTCTCAGTTTCTAGTGCTTTATGGGGTTTGTTGTCATCATCATACTGGACGTCCATCCACTACTTTTATTCCGTTCAGACTGAAAACGAAGCGTTGCTAACAGTGCTGTGATTTGAGTTACCACAATGGGCTATTATTCTGCATTTCTCAAGTTCTTGCCTAGCAGCAACAGAGGTTGGCTTCCAGAATATGAAATTTCTGCTCTCTACTTTCCACAGGTGTAACTGTGAAATACATTGGCTAACGTATTGGGGAAAATTCATGTCAGGATTACAAAGAAATAACACTTTCTAGCTTTGCAGCACAGAAACACAATTTCTTATGGGTAGATTTAGAAAAAGAATTAAATGCCTTTAATGGAAACTCTAAGTTATATAGCAAATGCAATGCAAAAGAAGAATACAGTTAATTTATAATACCCACACATGTGAGCTATACATGAGGGATCACCTCAACACCGTCTATATCCTGGTGGTAGCGTTTGTTCTCAGTGAGACAATTAAGCATTAAGATAGAGCCTTTAATTTCAGTAGCATATTTATCATTACTGGTATTTATTTTATCAACCCGTGAGATGGCGAGACACAGTGGTGGCTATTTCTAGAACCTGTTGTCAGAAACACATTTTTCCTAAGGCATTAAACAAGTGAACTCATTTTGTCCATTACAGATTACTCCAGATTTTACTTTATAAGGGAAAGCTGCTGGGGAGAATTTTTATCTCATTCATGTTTTTCTGGATAGTGATTGCCAGTGACTCCACCTTCATCAAAATCGATATTCTCTTTTATTAATCATTGATTCATTTGACTCCTACAAGTAGGAACATACTTGTAGCAGCAGCTCATGATAACGAAGTCAAAGGCAAATAAAATAAAATGCTTGGCTAGATTTAGGGGAAAATAGAGAATAAGAATTGTATAACAATCCTATAAATCTTTAATAAGAAGGAACATAATAGAAATTAGGAACTAGAAATCCATTTCTAATGAAGATGGCAGAAAAAAAGAATAATTATGATACATCAAATTTAAGGTAAACATTTAAAAAAAAAAAAAAAAAACAAGAAAAAAACAGGCAGAGTGAGTTAAATACATCAGTTTAATACAAAATAATTTATTGGTTTCTAGAGTACCATGTAGCAGTGCAAGTAACTAAGGTAGATAAGGACTTAACAGAGTTTTTACCTGTGCTTCTTTCATTAATTTTTTAAACACGATCAAATTCTGATGATAGAAAATTTCAAAAGAATATGGTAACTTCAGAGGCACATAACATTTGATAAATAACAGTAAATTGATAAAACAAATTTCTCCTGGAGGAAGTTATTTGAATTCACACTTACAGAGATAGGAAAGTTCTGTCTATGGTAGATCATTACGTGTAACACAAAAGTTAAGGTTAAGTATATAGTGCCATTTTAAGAAAAAAATGGCATTTTCTCTCCTAGAATATGAATTCAGTAGTGAAGAAAAGTTCAGAGACATGCAGCAAAAAATATTTGAAGCATAAAATTTGATAAGGAAATTATCTGGACTGTTTAATTTACAGTAATGATTAATAGAGTCTGAAGACAAAAAATTATGAATCGTATAAAGAAAACATTAACACTGCCATCAATCTTCTCTTATACAAGGCCAAGACTATGTTAAACAATACATTTACTCCAACCTAAGACTGATTAAAAGGATTTCTTCAACATATAGTAGTTCCTTCAAATTATTATTTATAACAAAGAAAAATTAGAAAAAAGAGGTGCAAAAATAGAGTTCCGTACATTTGAATCTCTCTAAGGAATGTATTTATCTGCTGTTTTGTTTCACAGATAATGAATCCGAAATAGATGCTACCACAATACAAGGCAAAGGTCTCATTAGCAATTGTGACAACTACCACCTTCAGCCCAGTTTCATCATTTTGGACCTTTGGCCCTCAGTTTTTCCATACACAGTTTTGGCGTACTGCTCTGGTCCTATGCCCTGATATATTTGTCTACCATTATTCAACTGCAATTTGGTTTGAATACCATGGTGAGGCATACTTTCAAGAGACCCAAAACAAGCATACCAAAAATCCCTAAAATGAGACACTTTATATATTCTTCAGTAGCATAATTAAAATATACAAGATTAACAATATATTATTATTAAAAGAGAAATAGTCCTGAAGGTATTCATTAGCAGTAAAATGGCCACCACCACAAACCGTTTCATATTTATGGGAACAGAAAAAATATCTGGTTCTCTGCTGCCCTTTCCAGTAGCAGGAGAGGTAAGGCAGTTCTCCATATCATTTTTCTGTGACACTTAAAAGACTGCAGCTACCCTGTCTTACCATCTGTAAAGAATTCCTTGATGGAGTGAGCAATCTTAAGCAATGAACCATCAAATCCGAATAAAGGAACTCCATGTAATGGGAAAAGGACGTTTTCTACTTTTGTAAATAGAATTTATATAAAGTCTCTATGCAGTGAAAGTAAGAAGTATGTTGAGAGATGATGAAGAACGGATTACAGTGGAACAATGTTTAATTAAAGACTTGTAAGCATCTTTCATTATTGTTCAGAAAAATTCAATTAAGGAACGGATTACATTACCTCACGCTTCATTATGTAGCTAGCACCCACTATTAATTGGTTTTTCCACTACCTTGCCCTCTTTTGTTTCCAGAACACTCGAGTTACAGTAACTTTTAATTCCTTATGGTAAACATCAATCAACAGGAGAACCGATTTAAAGGTTCAACGGAAGAAGTTTTACACAGGAAGGGGAACTGAGGAAATCTCTTCGCAGGACCCCGTTTGCAGCTGTAAGGCTGCCAGGCGGAGAGCGCAGGTGCTCGTCCCACGGCCATGGAGAGCCTTCCCCTGACAACGAGCTCGCTTTTAAAAGCAGAGCGACCGGGGCTCCAGCTGCGGGGTCGCCTACCCCGCGCACCGGCGTTCCCCGGGGCCAGGGTAGCAAACGCTGCACGAGTTGCTTGGGCGATGGGTGCTTCTCCTCGAGACCCGTTAACCTCCCAACCCAGGACTTCCCCGGCCGCCCCCCGCTCCCGCGCTACGGAGCAAAGGAGGGGAGGTGGCCCTGCTCCTGCCCACGCGGCACCGCCAGCCAGAACGGATGGCTCGGCGGTCTGGGCTCCTCGGGGAGGGCAGGAAAAAAAAAAAAAAACAAAAAAAAAACACCTGTGAAAATTGAATTGGATCTCTAGCGCGAATTAGCCGTGACTCTTCCCACAGCAAGCAGGTCTCCCGGTCAAGGGCAAGCCCTGTGGCAGAGTTGGAGCACATTGAATACACATTTAAGGACACGACTTTCACATCTGTATCACAGGCAGAACACTGATTACCTTAGGTAGCTCTTCAATTTGATTGGCATCTAGGTAAAGCTCCTCTAACGTCCGTTCAAAGTTAAAAACCTCCTTTGGCACCTGCTGTAGGCCACAGTGAGAGTAATCTAACACTGAGACGATTTCTTCTTCCCCACGAAAACACCGGCAGGGCACCAAGCGGCCGATAATTTTCCTTTTGGTTGTCATCTCCAGGCAGCATACTGAAGGAAAAGGGGAAAAAACAGTTTTCTGAAACTATCAACATTTTGGGGACTACTTCTTTAGAATTATTATCACAATTACAGTCTATTAAATGCAGTTTTTCCTGAGGGATATCTGTAGTCTGCACTCTTCATCTCTCATTTCACCTTTCTACAGAACGTCACAAAGTGAGATTTGCCAGCGTAACCACAAAAAGCAACCTCAATACATCATCTGTTCCCCTACGCTGGGACAGAAGAAGACGTGCCAAGACCATCCACGGCCATTGCTTTCCTTAATGCTGAAAATCAGCCGTCTAAATCCTACACGTACAAATATGTTCATCAGACCAAGTATAAAAGGACAACGTTTGTGCTCCAGGGTTTGGTCCCGTCCTCGGTTTGGACTGTGAGCCACTGAAGTGAATCAGAGTCATTTGGTTCTGATTTTCCCTGACAAACGTCCCATTGTTACACCCGAGTCCTCTGAAATCAACGGCGTTCCTTCGCTCCCCACAGATACTGCTGGGGTACATTCTCTGGTTTTTCAACCGTAAGAATAAAGAAAAGGATATGTAAACTTCATTGGTTACAAAAGCAGAACAAAAGTAACCCGAAACCAGAGTTTGTTTACCTGTCACGCCTGCTTCTCTTGTATCACCTTAGTCCACTGAAAAGGCAATCAGGGCCTTGGCAGAAATGCCCTAAGAATAAACACCGGGGAAATTTCAGCAGAGTCTGTTCCCCGACTTCTGATCGCGATGCCCAGGCCTGCAGACCTGCCCCGCACACGGTTCTTGTCCGAGCGCCTCCAACTCACAGGAGTGACAGTCGACACAATGGTATCTTACTGGTTTTCAGTGGAATAAAAATACTTTAACTCACTGCTTGTGAATTGAGAGAACGCTCAATAAGCGGATTTTATACGTGACAAGCAGTCTCTAAATCTGGAACAGAAGTTGTTTTACCATGATTATAGATAAATCAGGCTGTTCTGAAACACATTACCACGAAGCCAAGAAGGGCTAAACCTTCACCTCCCATTTTCTATACCACTCACAAGGTTTTGAGCTACACTTACGAAAAAAATGCACAACGTTAGTCCAAGTAAAGCAAAATAAAGCTCATCAGGATCCTTTTTCACAGGATGCCGGTGAAAAAGCAACTGTACATTCATGCAAAGAATCAGTGGAGAGAATTCATATTCCTTAAGTCATTATTTATCCAAAATGTAAGATTAAAAAAATAATTTAATTGGTCAGATAATGCTCCATTCATGGGTCGCTGTGACTTTTTTATCAGGCAACACATTGATATTTTGGAGGTAAATAAGATACTCAAATGTTTTATTTCCTTGTTTAAATTTTATTAGGGCTTAATCTGCCTCTAGTAATCCCAATGAGATGAGCACACACTGTCAGGACAAATACTGGTTTTTCATGCTCTCGAGAAGACTGAGATGTTGAAACCAACAGCAGTTCTGTTGAAACCAGAGTGCAGCTGGTTAGTCATTTGGCAGCGCCAATGACAGGCTTCCTCTTGGCTGATTTTGGCTTAAGGGTAAAGCTTAAAACAGAGAAAAGGGTAGAGTAATTTTGTAATTCAGTGTGACCAGATGCCAAGTTTGTGGGTATAACATAACAGTTGCATCTTAATTACAGTCAGCTGATGCAATGAAAACATCTGCAAAATACAATGTACATAAACTTCTGAAAATGGAAAACCAGAACGCTTAATGGTATGAAAAAAGCAGCAATTCATTGATAAGCTAATAAATCACAAAATCGAGAAGTTTTATTTCAGTTCAACAGCATAGTCCACTGCAGAACACAAAGAGCCATGCAGCTAAAATTTAAGGATGCCGCACGCCACTCAAATTTACTCTGTGAACTTTGTTCTCAAATGTTCTTCATTTAAATTCCTTACACCGGGAACACTAGACCCCCAGTCAAATTTCATACACAACACTGTGGCTGGACCTGGGTTCTTGATTGGCCCCCAAAATTTCCTGTGATAAAGCAAAGTTTATTTTAATGTTGCCCTTAATTTTCCCCTGGAAATAAGGCTCCTGCCTCCTCAGCTCCAAATCCGGGGGTCAGTTTCAAACCCATTTGGGAGGGAAGGACTCGCATTGCTTTCTCAACTTCAAAAAACGTTGCATTTCTCACTTTTTATTTAAGGCAGTTAAAGTCCCAAAGCTCTGCTCCGAAGCAAGTCCGGTAGGAGAACGGCCCATCGCACCGGGAGTGCTCCCGGTTCTCTCCGATTTTTTTTCCGCTTGCCGCGTGATCTGCAATCTCCAAAGCTTTTTTTTTTTTCCCCCCGCCCTCTCTCTGCTCCCACCACCACAGCGCACCGCACGCAGCCGGCCCCTCTGGCCCCACCGCCCCGGGCAGGGCGCGGGCACCGGCACCAACCCCGCGTCTCTCCCCCCAGAAATCCCCCCGCGCAGCTCGGGGGAGCGGGCGAGATCGGAACGGGTGGAAACTGCGGAGGCACCGGCCGCAGAGTGCGTGCTTCCCAGGGAAACAAAGTTAGCTCTCAAGCTTGTACTCAAGCACAGGACGGAGCACTTGGCAACTGGGTATTTCAAACCTTGACGCAATCAAAATAAATGCCCTTGGAATAGCGAAGTATTTGTAGCCTTTCGAGCCGTTTGAAGAGAGCGAACAATTGAACGGCGACATGCACTTCAAAAATTACTCAGAAAAACATTCTGCCCATAGGCATGACAAAGCAGCTAGCTTTACGCTATTCTCCTCGACTCTAGGCATACACGTAAAACAAGCCCCACGTTTCATTTGAACGGAAACCCAGAACAATAACAGCTAGAAAGTGTACAAGTAGCGACGTGGTAGAGCTCTACTAAAAGTAGCAATTACAACAGCAAAAGCATTTACCAAAGATTTTTTCTTTTGCTTATGTAAACAAAAGTGTTTCTATTATTGCAGTCCATAAAGATAGCTGTAATTTCTCATTCAATAGAAAAAAGTTTTAAAAATTAGAAAGAAAAAAATGCTGAGGATAAACAAAAGTGATTTAATCACTTTGCCTTCCTCTAAAGCTACAGTAAGGGCTGATTGCCATGATAAAATAAATTGGTGGGATTAATTAGTTATCTATTCGAACTGTCCTCTTCAGGAAAAAAAAAACAAAACAAACAAACCAAAACAAAACCAGAATGTGATTTGGATAGATGAATAATCTGTATTTAAGAAAAGATCAATACTGGAGTAAGAAAGGTCCTTGAACCTGAATTACGGGGCATTGCTAAGGTTTTGTGAGAAAAATTAGTATGAAGTAACTCCACTACAGGAACTGCTGCTTATAGAATATTTGCTGGGAAAATGGCCATGGGAAAGTATGAACTTAAATGTATTTTGTTAAGAAGTGGGTTTGCATGTGTCCATGGTCTGCTCCATTACTGACCCTTTGTAACTAAGAAGAAAACAAACAAAAATGCTGAAGTTAAAAAAAAAAAAAAAAAATCCCCTGGGATTTATATTGTTCTTTGCAATCATTTCAGAAAGCACCAGTACAGAATGAAAGGACTTGTGCTACGACCGAAAGGAGTAAAATTTCATGCTCTCTGGACTAACTGTAATTAAATCCTTTATTAATTTTAGTATTATTAATTCCTACCCCGGCTTAATTCCATCTTTGATAATTACACTTTTCTTACACTTTGTTCCTTCATAATTTTCATAAAGCTTTTCTTTTGCTCTGATGGTTACTAACTGTAAGAGGATTGCTACTTGAGATCAAAATTTAAGTCAGAGTCAACAGAAAGCCACCCTCCCAACTGCGGGAGCCTGAGTCACCATAGGCATCGCTGCTTTATAAAATTCCTTCATTCCTGTAAGTGATATAAAAGTCTTCCTACTTTCTCAAAGAGACACCAGTGCTTAGTACTTTTCTCCATTTAAAGTAGTGAAAGAAATACAATTCTCCAGAGCTGAGTATTAGAGGTTATTGCTCACCATATGTCACATGCCATACATGAAGATTATACACTGTGGAAGATCTCTACGACAGTCAAAAATCAAGAAATTTCAGGGTGTCTATTCAGTCTTACATGCAGGAACACTGAATTTTCAAAACTCATCAGACCACACACAGAAATGCTCAGTAACTTGGAAAACTATAAAGACTGTCCTGCAAATGCGGTGCAAACCAGTGGATTTTTTTGAAAACAAAAGAGCTAGGATGAAATCTCTATTTTTTTTTTTTTTTTTTGTGATTCTGCTTAAGGAAATGTACTAATGTCTTAACTAATAATTAATTCTATACAACTGCATTCGTAACAAACTGTAATGTACCAGTTTTTGACAATTCAGAAAACCAAAATGAAACACAAACACATTTCTCCCCACAAAATCTTAAAAATATTATGATCCGTTTTCTGAATGTTTTTTAAAAAATAGATTCTTTCTTGAATGAGAATAAAGAAACTATGCAAGAAGGATAAATATAAACTGCATTTATCAGCTTCCTGCAAGCATCTCATTATCATTATCTGCAGTTTATTCTCTTCTGAAGAAAATCCTTAATCCAAGAAAACCAGTATTTTTATGGAAATTAATTACAATAAAATCTAATCTCTTCTCAATTAATGGATCTTTTGTGCAGTAAAACCACTAATCCCTGTTTCTCAGTAATCACGGGAGAAGATGTTGTCCTCACCAATTTAAAAGACAGAGGCAGCGAAAATTGCTGTATGGCTCACAAAACTCTGATTTAAAGATGGAACAAAATAGCTTGACAAACTTCAAAACTTCTAGTACCTTGAAAGAATAGGACAGGCAGCATTTTTTTTCAAAAGACAAGATAGAAGAATTTTTTTTTTTCCATCTTAGAAGCTTTTTCCTCTGCAGTGGGCCTACACATGCTCAGATATAGCCATTTTCCTTTTTTCCCCTCACAAAGTAATTAAAAATTTGCTTTAAAAAACACAACTAAAAACTGCCATATCTCTCCAAAAATATTTTTATGTAACCAGTTTAGTTCTATCCTAAAATGTG